CGTGTACCAAATGCACACGCATGCCTCCAGCCCAGAAGGTAGGTAATCGGGCGTTCTGCGTTCAGCCCAATAAAATGGGTATCCTACACACACACTGCTGGACTTCCGCTTACATTGCTTTAATTTTTGCAGGGTCCTGTGTGCGTAGTGATTGGCCTAATTTAAGAGAATAGTTATGGGAATAACTAGCTCTCTTTTTTTTAATTCCTCCACTTGTTTCTCCAGTTGGCTATTTCCTCTAGTTGCTTACTAGCTGGCTTTTTTAATGCTCATTATCCTTGTGTTAAACCCACTCCCTTGTTAACAGATTCTAGAGGGATTAGGGATAAAAGGATAGCAGGTTAGAGCTCTGTGGGAAACTGTCAGCTTGCCTTGGCTGCTAGGCTCAGCATACAGGCCACTGCCACATTCCAAGGCCACATTATATATTTCAGTCAAGCAGCTACCCAGGGGACAGCAAACTCACCCAAAGGTCACCTAGTTGCTCTTCCTTCACTTGGAGAACTCCTCTCATTTGCCACTCCTGCTTGCTAATTGGGTATGGCTGCCCATCAAGCACGGGGTCCAACTACGGTTAGCCCGATTCATAGGGTTGCCTTATCCTCCCCAGTGCAGTGGTTTGTGCACTCACTGGTGTGGTGCCTCCTGCAGGTCAATCTAAGAATGAGCTCTTCCAGCCCTGAAGCACTCTGGTTGGTTGGCGTCCCATCCTCAGTTATGTCTCCTTCAGGCCCAGTGTCCCTCCTAGGTCATGGTGCCCTTTTCCTCGTGGCACTGTCCTGTGGCAGTGCCCACACACTCTGGGGTCTCCCCGTCTAGGGGACCCTATGCCCCCCATACTGCCAGTTGTCATCTGGTCCCTCCCTCAAGGACCAACTGCAGTCTGAAATGGCCACTCATGGTTGTCATAGGGGTGTGGACATGCTGCCTTCTTCTGCCCTGGCTGCCTCCCTGTAGCCTGCTACTTCTCAGGTCTTGAAAGCCAGGCCTAAGCCTGGGAGTTTGCCTGGCCAGAACTCCCAGCTCCTGCTTCTCCTTCCCCAGCCCTGCTCTGTCTCAGGTACCCTCTCTAGCTTACCAGGCAGCCCAGGTTCTTTCTGCTCCACAGCTGGAGCAAGAGTGTGTGTGCACTGCTTCTCCAGGATCCCTTCTTAATGGACCTAGGCAGGCCCTGATTGGCTGTGTCTAGTGCTTTTCTGATTGAGTGCCCTGCTTATATGCAGAGTAATGAAACTCATGCTTATGAATAAATATTCATAATCCCACAGAAATGGACATCATGAACCTAATTCTGGCTTTGGTCCTTGCCTACACAGTGGCTCCGAGGGGAATTGTAGAAATGTGATTCTCTGACTGTGGAGGTGTGTCCCCATGTTCCTTACCCCACCCCACTCTACAGTCAAAGTTTTAGCTTCTAGTTGTCTCATAATTCTACTTTTTTAGTTCTCTTGGCTTGTACTATCTTTGTATCTATATGTGCAATGTCTCACACAATTAGGCCGAGGCCTCTAGGAGTTACCTTTATTGTAATGGATTCAAGTACCGATGCTCTACGCTGATGCCCATTGCAGTCTTCAGTTGTCATAATATTTCTCACTGTTGTAGGTGTGGCCAGTAATATCCTATTTATAAAGCAATCTGGGGACCCAGGGTGTTATTCTGTGGTTCTATAATTCCTCATTAAATGTGCTTTCAAGTAGCCAACCACAGTGTCTATCTAATGACTATCTAGGTTTCCTTTCTTATTACTTTCACTTCAGGAGGGTTTTGTGAAAAGGGATTTTTTTTTCATTTGTAGACCCTTATTTTCAGTTCCCTGGGGTCTGCACCCAAACTTGCACTGAAATAATTCAGCTGGCATTAATCCATGCCTCTTAGTTCAGTGTGCGTCTGTATGGATATTTTTATTCCACACACAGTCTTGCACAGAAGTAACTAAGCCTGTGAATTAAAACTGATTTAAGAATGGTCTGCACTCAAAGTTGCCTGTTGTAACTAAAGGTGTGATTTAAAAAAAAAAAAAAAAAAAAAGACTCTGATAGATTGGTGCAACTTTGTGTGTGGACCAGTGTTCCCGGTAAGCTGTGCATTTATTGTAGTTGTTCTGGAGAGATTCAGATGCTGCCCAGTTGATTAGCATAGTGCTCACAGCTAGGTGTTTTGTTTCTACTGATGGTGCAGATTTGCACATGCCTTGGCATGCACAAAATATTTATTCTGCACCTGGATGGAAAAGTTTAGAGGGGACATTGGTGGGGACACTCTTAAATGAATGTAAACTTGGCTTAATTTGGTTTAGCATGCATCTGTAAATCCTGCTAAAACCTTGTTCAGCCTTGCAGGCTTTAAGAGCAAATTTAACTTGTTAGTAATCTCACCAAATTATACACTAAATAATGCCAGGATACTTCCATGCTTCCCCACCCATAGACCCTGAATAGCTGGCGGTTCCCTGGAGGTGCCTGTGCCCCCCGGTGGTGAGAGGAGAGCTTGCAAACTTTCTTTTCTCCCCCCCCCCATCCCTATCTATATTCCACACATCTTGAAGAACTTCTAGTTACAGTACATAACCTCCTTGGTTTTAGCTGACTAAGCATCCCAGAGCCATCATCATCTGAATAATCAGAATATCCATGGACACTTTTTTTGGTGACAGATTCCACAGGGTGACTGCCTAGCATGGAGTGCATCTTAGTCCTAACGCTGAGTGGAAGTCACAACAAAAGAGCGCCAACACTTGGGAACACAACGTAGCAGATTCTTTTAAAAATACATTTGCAGTCATTTGCATAAATATGCATCTATTTGTAATTAAGTATTACCCATTTATCCCAGTTGTCCACTCCGCACATTTATTACACACCCTCTTTCACTTTATCCCAACTCATTACACATGCATTCCACAGACAAAATTCTCTGGGCGCCTACTTTCTTTTAATTGTGCATCCAATCACTCTTCCTAGATATGGCCACTTATTCCACTTTCAACTCCACCCATTCCATGCGAAGCATATCTGTTCCACACTCACATCTCAAGAACCCGCTCTCCTGAACCTCATCTCCAACTGACCATCTCCCTCCTCTCCTCACCCCCAATCTCTAGCTTCCTGCCCTCAGCTAATCCTAAATTAACCCTTTGGCTTTTCCACCAGGCGCCTGCAGCCTGGCTACCAGTCAGGGATTTCCTATAGAGTCCAGTAGCACAGATGAAACCTCCTGAAGTTTATGGCAGACAGTTAATTGAAAGCAGACTGATACTTTCAATATCTTAATTCCCCTGAGGCTAAAGGCAAAATTTCAATCTGAAAGCCTGGCTATCAAGGTCTGGTAGATATGTTGTTTGGACCATAAATTTGGCCTATAGAGGGGCAATTATTCAAATAATTGTAGTCGGAACTGAACAGCAATACAGGCAGAGTGTGAGTAGATGGGTTAATGACGTTTTAATTGGAACTCTGCGTCACAGAGCTGCGGATGGGGCATGCCAAGCTGAACAGACAGGTCATTGTGTTAAAGGCATCGGAACTCGTGATCGACTATCTTCATTCAGACTCATGGCTCCAATATTTGTTGTTCCTCTTCCATCCTTCTCTGAGCCTGGGGAAAGTTATTCATTAAATTGTGATAAGAGGAAACACATTCTGGTAACTTAGATTTTATTTAACTGGGTAGAGTTTTCAGACTGAATTCTGCTCCTGAAAGCTCTTCTATGCAAATACTGTTGAATCAAAAATTCATTTATTAGTTGAAAAAATGCTGAAAGAACCAGTTCACTCAGCAGAAACTCATCCTGGAATTCACTCAAAGCAATTCCAGGATGAGTTTCTGCTAACTAAAACCATCTCTGTGAACTTCCATTTTTCATATGAGTTTAGTTTGATCAATCCTCAGAATTCAAATAGGCTCACTTCGCAAAACAAACTTATATTTCATAATCTCTTTCAAGACAAAGCAACTTTTTCTATAATTCTGTAACAGAGGTAGGATTCATTTTTGGGAACAGGAAGCTTGCTCACTTTGTGGTTTTTGACATCAGGAGAGGTACTTCCTTGCTAGCTGAAGCTTTCTTCCCCTACACAAGATCCTGCTGTGAGCTCATGATTGCTTTCTAATTACCCGCGTTTTTATAAGTTTCTAATTATATTCGTTTTTACAAACCCCGCACCCCACTTCCCCCCCGCGTGGTATACTCAGGTGCGGGGTGTGTGTGTGTGTTTATTTATGTATTTATTTATTTATTTTTAACTCACCTGATGGTGAGTGCTCCCCCGACCCTTCCCCCACTGTACAGCCTCTGGGTGGGGGAGTGCTCATCTCCCGGTTCCTGCGCAGGAGCGCTCCCCCTACCCCTTCCTGCGGCTGGGCCAGAACCGAGAGATGAGCGCTTCCCTGCCCGGAGGCTAGAGCCTGTGCAGCCGCAGGAAGGGACGGGGGAGCACTCACATTCCCCCACCTGGAGGTTGTGTGGCCGTGCGGGACCCAGGGGGGTGAGTGCTCCCCTGTCCGGAGGGCGGTTAATTTCCCCTCCCTCCTCCCCGACCTGTAGAAGCCCGCCCTGCCCCGCCCCGCACAGTTTGAAAAAAATCTTGTATACCCTGCGGGTATACTCGTGTGCGGGGTATACATTTTTGTTTTTAACTCAAACTGCAAAAAACGCAGGATATATTCGAGTGTGGGGTATATTCACTAAAAGACGGTAATCTAGGCAGTTTAACGAGATTCCTGTATTAATCTTGGCTGATCATGTTGCATATGAAAGTAATTTCTAATAAATTTACTTTCCCTTGCCTCAGATCCTGAAATATCTTCTGATGAGAAAGATATACTAATATATGACCAGAAAGGAGTCTTAGCAAATGTTAATGCTTACAACACATGCATCGTACTCTTGATAAAGATTTTGGGTGTTTAGTTGGATGAACAATTAGCAGTGGAAGCTATGTACTAGCTTATTCAGTTTCACTGATGAAAATATAGGCTCATCCTGTGCTTTGTTACAGGCTTTCGGAAATGCAAAAACAGCCCATAACAACAACTCCAGTCGTTTTGGAAAATTCATTCAAGTCAACTACTTGGAGAATGGCATTGTACGAGGGTAAGTATGACATGACGTTCCTTCTGGAGCTAACCTGTATGTTCTTAAAGTTTTGTGCAGATTAGATGGAATCTGAATAGTTTTTTATCTGAGCATGCCTCATGTGTGACTGATTGACTTCTGTGGGTGATTTCAATAGTACATAACTTCATTTTGTTTGGATTGTTTCATAGCATGTTCAAAAGCAAAATCTCCTGCTTTTCCTCAGTAGATTTGAAGTCAGTATCCATCTCATTAGCCCCAATTTGCTGAGATGCACATGGGAAGTATCTTACCCAAGCTTGCCCAGCATGCTACTGGCAGAGCTGGAAACCCGCTCAGATGTACTGAGTCTAGTCCAATGCTCTGTCTGCTAGGTCACATTGGCCAAAGTAATTAATCTCCTTTGAAAATATCCCTACCCAGCTATTTTTTTAAAAAAACACAGTTTAAATTAGTAATACAATTAACAAAGTAAAAAAAGCAGAAGCAAAAAGACATCCTTTTAAAAATGGAAGTTAAATCCAGTTGAGGAAACTAAAAAGGAGCATAAACTCTGCCAAGTGAAGTGTAAAAATATAATTAAGAAAGCTGAGAGCATTTGAAGAACAGCTAGTCACAGTATTCCAAAAGTACAAGGAAACCCCCGAGTTGCGACTGCCTGAGTTGCAACACCCCCACTCCCTCCACACACAATTACAACTATTTTTTAAAGTGTGGAAAGAGCCAAAAACCCCTGACTTACATCCTCGGCCCGCATTTACGCCAGTGCCTATCGTCAATGAGGGTTCAAATTACGATGCCCCCAAATTGCAGTGTTTCCCCAGGAACCAATCGTGTTGCAAGTCAGGGGTCACCTGTAACAGCAAAAAAGTTAAGTATATCAGAAACAGAAAGTCTGCTAACCAACCTGTGTGGCCACTGGTGACTGGGATGCAAAAGGAGCACTCCAGGAAGATGAAGCCATGGCAGAGTGGAGGATGTGAGGGAGATTCCCACACCTGAGCCATTCTTTTAGGTGACAAATCTGGTGAACCATCCCAGATTGAGATATTAGTAACAGTTTTAGAACAAATGGATACATTTAATAGAAATAAGTCACTTGGACCAGATGACATTCAGCAAAGAATTCTGCAAGAACTCGAATGTGAAATTGCAGAACTACTAACAGTGGTATGTTAGAGGATAGCTCATGTGATGCCAATTGTAAAAACCGGCTCCAGAGGCAATCCCAACATTTACAGGCGGGCCAGTCTGATTTCATTAGCAGGCAGATGCAGATGAACATCCTATTGGGGGGACAAGTCATCATGTTTTTGGGAAATTGGTGAGGCATGATCTATTCAAATTCTTTGACAGAGTCAACAAAAGTGTGGACAAGGGTGATTCAGTGGATATAGTGGGTTTAGATTTCCAAAGTCTCTTGAGCAAAGTAAGCCGTCATGGGATAAGACGGAAGGTCCTCTCATGGATCAGTAGCTGGTTAAAATATAGTAATCAAAGGGTGGGATTAAAAGGTTAGTTTTCAATATGAAGAGATGTAAACAATGGCTGATATATGGGGTTTTGTCCTGGTACCAATGTTGTTCAGCATATTCATTAATGATCTGGAAAAATGGGTCAGCAGTCAAGTGGCAAAATTTGCAGCTGATATAAAACTACTCAAGATAGTTAAGTCCAAAGCAGACTGAGAAGAATTACACAGAAGTCTCACAAAACTGAGTATGCGGTGCCACTCAAAAAATCTAACAATCTTAGGAATCATTGGGAAAGAGATACGTAATAAGGGAGATAAGATCATGTTGCCTGTATGTAAACCTATGGTACGACGACATCTTGAACGTTGTGTGCAGATCTTGTTGCCCCATCTCAAAGATTGGAAAAGGTACAGAAAAGGGCAACAAAAACGATTATAGATTGAACCTCTCTAAACCTGGACACTCTGGTCTGGCAATATCTGTGATCTGGCAGGACCACAGACTTTCCTGGCTCAGAGAGCACCAGCAGCCAGGAGGGCTGGCGTCCGGGAGGGGAGCTTGGGAGCGGGGACTAGCAGCCAGCAAGGGAGCCTGGTGGCTGGCGTAGAGCCCAGAAGCTGGTAGCAGATGGGCTGGTATTGGCCTCCTCTGGTCTGGCATACTCCTTGATTTGGGACTGGCTAGGCCCTGAGGGTGTTAGACCAGGAAGGTCCAACCTGTAAAAAGAGTGGAACTTTTCATCTTGGAAAAGAGACAACTGTGGGGGTGAGTATGATACGATAGAGGTCTACTGTACAATTATGACTGGTGCGGCGAAAGTAGATAAGGAAGTGTTGTTACTCCTCATAACACACAATCTAGGAATCCCCAAATGAAACTAATAGGGATAGTCAACCTACAGAACTAGCCATGGGATGTTATAAAGGACAAGACTATAACAGTTCAAAAAAAGAATTAGATAAGTTCATGGAGGCTAACAGGAATAACCATGTTGTGAAGTATCTCTGTTCTGTTTGCAAGACGCTGGCAATGGGCAACAGGGGATGGATTGCTAGATGATTATCTGTCCTTTTCATTCCCTCTGAACCACCTGGCATTGGCCACTGTTGTTAGATAAGATACAGGGCTAGATGGGCCATTGATGGCCATTCTGATGTTCTTAATTTTGTCTCTGTATATTTAATTTCCTGTTAAACAGCAGCTGTTCCATATCATCCATTGTCCTCTCCGTTTTGTAATTTAAAATAGTTTCAGATCTATTATTTGTAGAGAGCTTGAGAAGTGAAATACAAGTAAGGAAGTCTTGCTTTTTTTGAAAGACAGGTACTGGAGAAAATGATGACATAAACAAGGTAGTTAACACTGTATACACGTTCATTAGCTATCACTTGCACTTAGTGTATGTGAACAGAAGTGGAGGATGTGAGATATGTGTATATTGGCAAAAAATGTTCCCAAATGTAGATTTTTTTTTTTTTAAAGCTAGGGCATTGTAGTTACAAAACACATTGAAAGTCAACGTGATGGTACCTTATATAACTTGAGCTCTCTAACAGATACTAAACAGTGCAGGTTATTCTTTAGCAGTGCTCCCATCCAAAAGTGGAATAACTTGATATCAGTTGTATAAAGTGATTAAACAATATTTATCACAGCCACAATTAGATGTAGGTCCCTTCATTACAAGTGCATAATTTTGTCCAAAAATTGCTTCCTATATGATATCTTTGCACTTAATTATCCATCTATCATACACTGAAATCTATTTCTGTCTTGGCGTATAAACTTTGTATGTATGCAGAATGCATAGCAGCATCTCACCACATGTTCCTGTAAAACATTAAAGTTCTGCTTTCAAGAGGTGGAATGAGATGGTTTAGAACATTAAAAAGGAGCTCTGGTTTATGCCACAAACTTGTCTGTATTATGCCAGGTACTGAAACTGTAACAGCCAATTGTTTCTGGGGCTTCAGTGCAGTGTTCCATTGATAAGTCTTTGTCATTGCTGTTTCTTAAATACTTCAGAGATGAACAACAAGGCTCCACTTTGTTTCAGTGCTTTGAGTATTATTCTGGATAAATCTGGCATCTTTACAGATGAAGTCACCCCAACTCAGGAGATTGGTACCATGTGAATTCATTTGTTTTCTGTCTTCAGCAAGAGAAAAAGCTACTTCAGCTCTGGCTTCATTCTTTGTCTGTTTGTATCCCCTGTGTAAGAGTAGATTGTTCTTTAGCTTACTCACCATGTGGTTTCCACATAGAGTTCCCTGCTTTCTTGCCTCGTGCTGCGAGGTGGTCCAGTATGGGCCAGCAAATTCAGGAAGTCTGGCAACAATGTTTCTATTGTAGTCTTTCTGCATGTTGTGGCCTTTGCTCCAGTCCCTAAAACGATAAGCAGGTCTATTGGCAAAATCAAGTTGTGTAGAGTATTAATGGTTTTACGGCAACAATTAATCTTAGCTTCATCTTTTCCATTCATCTCTACCGAGAGAAAGCACCAAAAACATCTGTGTTCCTCGGGAGTAGCTGCCCATTGTGAGCATCCTTATTGTATCCTCTCAAAGCCAGCACAATGCCACGCGAGTTTTTTGTTTCAGGCTAGCAGAGGTCTGAATGGGGTTATTCTACCCTGAGCTCTGGTGCATGTGAAATCTTCATAAACTCACTTATGGCTAGATTGATATCCAGATGCTCTGTTTGACACTGTTGCCCCACTGATGGTTTTGTTTGGTTGTTTTGTTTTTGATGGGAATTACAGGGCTGTTGTTGAAAAATATCTGCTTGAAAAATCTCGCCTGGTGTCTCAGGAAAAGGATGAAAGGTAAGAGGAGATGTGTATTTTGTATTGTCTGTTTGAATGTCTCCCTCATAGTCACGTCCACCTCTCAAAGCATAACGTTTTGGTACAAATGAAATGCCACAACAATTTTCTAATTCCCCCCTGACAAGAAGAGACTAGATCACCAGGAAGTGTTTGGGTTGAATTGTTGGTATGTGTGCACAGGTTGTCAGCAATGTGTGCATCTGTCAAAAGGCTAGACTGAACCCAAATGAATACTGGCTCAATCTGTACTGATTAGGGCTCTCTAGAACAGGGGTCAGCAACCTTTCAGAAGTGGCCTGCCCCAGCATACCCTCCTGCCCTGCTCTTCTAGATAGGTGGGAGAAGGCTCTCTGGTCTCCTGCCCTGGGGCTCCCTGTGTTCCCGCCTCCCCGCAGCACAGGGGAAAGTAGGGTGGATAAGGCAGCACACGCGATGCTGTGGGGAGGAACAGCGTGTACTTCCCTGCAAGCTGGATCCATTGCAGAGGCTTAGGGGCTTCCCTCTCCCATGCAGGAAGCTGGCGCTGGCTCCAGTCTTGCAGGGGGTGCAACACTTGATCGCCAGCACAGGCTCCCCGTTGTGGGGGTTAGGGTTGCTAGATGGTTTAACCAAAAATACCGAATCCCCCACACACACCGAATCCCCCCCCCCCCAAAAGAAAAAACCCTGGGGAAAAAATTTTGTTGGGGGGGGGGGGGAAGGGGGAGACCAAAGTTGTTGAGCAAAAGAAGGACCCCGAGAGTTGTTGTTAAGCTTTAAAAAAAAAACACACCACACCACAGCATGGCCCCTTTAAGAAATGCTTTTGAGGCTTTTTGGCCCTAACAGGCTGCTGGTGGCCGTCTGCCATCTTATTTCCCTGCTGGACAGTTCCCTTGCGGAACCCGGTAAGCCCCGGGGATTTTCACCTCCTGGATGGGAAAACAAAAATCAGAAAGTACCGGACATTTTGGGTTTCCAGTAGTTTCTGAATGTTTTTACCGGACAGGAGGCGAAAATACCGGACTGTCCGGGTCAGTACCGGACACCTAGCAACCCTAGTGGGGGCAGGTAGTCAGGAGCAGCCGTTCATTGCGCGGGCCACTGAAAATCATCTTTGTGTGCCATTCATGGCATACGTGCTGTACGTTGCTGACCCCGCTCTAGAATTTGCTCCTAGCATGATGGCTACCAGTCCTGATCAGATAACAATGTTTATTTAGAGTTACGAAAATAAAGTTCTCTCAGTTATGTCCTGCTGTCAGCATTTCTTCGACCACCTAATAGACATTAAACATTTTAAAGGTGCCCCGCTCAAGGTTTTTCACAAAATTGGGCTGTGGGCTCTTTTTGGCTGCTTAAAACTTATGTGGAAGGCCTGAAAGTTTTTCAGAGCACTTTCCTGCTTCTATAGGGGTTTTTTTTTTTTTAACCTGAAATATCTGAAGTATATCAAGCATGATTTCACTTGGAAGATCTATTTGGAGGCTGGGGTGTGTCTCGAATCACTTATGCACAGTGTTTCCTATAAGCTGTGCACTTGTGCAGCCACTCAGGAGAGATTTAGACACCGCCCAGCTGATTAGCAGAGCACCCTCAGCTATGTTTTTATTTTTACTGGTGGTGCACATTCACACATGCCTTGGTGCACATAGAAGTCTTTATTCCGCACATTGGTGGGAAAAAAATCTACACATGGATGGAAAAGATTAGAGGGAACATTGCTTATGAGCTCTGTTTCTTTAATGTGGGTGGAAATATCCAATATGTTAATGAATAATTGAAGTTAAAATGCTGTTTCTTGGCACTAGTTTTCCAGTCATCATAAAAGCAAAAAGGATGTCAGCCCAGTTCTTTTCCCTTTGAAAGTTACCTTTAAGCAATTTTCATTTGTCATTTTTGGACACTGCTATATACAAGTGAATTTCTAACACTGTACCCAGAAGGAGAAAAGACTTGAGCCATTTAAAGATTTTCCAGATACAGAAAACTTTATATAAACCAGGGCTACTTATCTGGGTGTACATAACAGGAAAACAGATTAAAAAAGTAAAAATGCATAAAGTAAACGTTCTACAATAGACGTACAATTCTTTCTTTATTACTTACAAATGGGGGGATAAGAGTAACTTTCTCCTTTAATCAATTTGGAAATGTGTAAGGCTTAGAGAGACAAATGTCATGTCTTCATTAAGTAGTGATGTGTTTCACCCTTTAGGAACTACCATGTATTTTATTATTTGTTACTTGGAGTCAGTGAAGAAGAACGTAAAGAGTTTCACCTCAAGCAGCCAGAAGATTATTTCTACCTCAATCAGGTACGCATTGGTTCTCCGTGTGTAACTTCAGTGATGAAGCTTCTGGATTGCTCTCTGGAGTGTTGTAGTGATAAATGGCAGAGAATCTGTGTTTCCTTTTGAGTCCTCTGATGATTCACTGCTTAGAAACTAGTTCAAATGGCAAAGGCAGCTTTTTGACAAAACCTTGCTGCTTAGTTGTGTAGCAACATGCCCAACACCACAAACCATAGCGTGAGACATTCATTGCCCTTCTCTCTGTGGATGAGACTTAACTTGGATGAGACTTAACATCACCAAACTTGTCTGGACTTCAGCTTTGTGGATCCCATATTAGAGATCACGATGGGTCCCAAAGATGATCCTATGCGCACCACATCATTTTGACGTGACATAAAATTCCTTTAGTACTCAGACTGCAATTTCAGTTTGAAGACTCAAGTGTCTGTTGGATTGTACTTATAGCATCATTCAGCTGGAGATTGGTTGGGGGAAGGGGACCAAATACAAGAGGCTCCCGAGATGCAACCGCCCGAGTTCCGACCCCCCACACTTATAGTCATTTTTGTAAGTGCAGAACGGGCTGGAAACCCCCGACTTACATCCTCGGCCTGCATTTTTGACGGTGCATGGCACCTGCCGAATATGCGGGTTCAAATTATGATACCCTCGACTTGCAACGTTTCCTCCAGAACCAATCGTGTTACAAGTCGGGGGCCTTCTGTATGAGTTTGAAGTAAGATGTTCATCTGTAAGAAAATTGAAATAAAAAAAATTCTGGACTTTGCCAGAGCAAACCAAAAGTTGCATCATGCCTGCACTTTGGGATGGTTCTTTTTTTTTTTTTTAAGTGATTTCACAAGAGTTGTGCCAATATCTCTGTTGTTATGGACTGAATTATTGTGGGGCTTTTTCTGTAGCATAACTTGAAAATAGAAGATGGGGAAGAGCTCCGTCATGACTTTGAAAGATTAAAACAAGCCATGGAGATGGTTGGCTTTCTTCCTGCAACTAAAAAACAGTAAGTAGAATTGTTTAGCCTCTTTCTGATGACAGTTGGTTAGTGCTCATGTGTTACAATGAATTAGTCTACGTTGCTGTCTGTGCGTTAAAAATGCATTATGAACAGAATACTGTGGGGTGCGTGCCAATTTGTAAAACATCAAAACTATACTTTGCTAAGCCCATTAGGAAACAGGGAAAGTTGAGGGCTATTTTTTTGGGCTTCTGTAGGCCAGTTGTATTGTCTACACCTCGTCAAGTAAATGTGGTTGTGTTTGTTACATACTCTGCCTGTTGTTGATCAACTTCAATCAGAACATTAATTTTAAAAAAGTCACTACTGTTTTTTCGTCAGGATCTTTTCAGTACTCTCAGCTATTCTTTATTTGGGCAATGTTACCTACAAGAGGAGAGCTACAGGCAGGGATGAGGGTTTGGAAGTGGGACCCCCAGAAGTGCTGGACACCCTCTCTCAACTTCTGAAGGTAGAGTATTCCCTTTAATGTGTGCCATCAACATGAAGCCACTGTCATGTTCTGCCTAGGTAATTTCTGGAGAGCATTTTTTTGCTCAAGCTCAGCATGCCCCAGAACTGGCATAGTAGTACTGGCGTTACTGTCTTGGAGGAAGGGAGTCAGCTTGCTATGCTGAATAGAAATGTGCATGCTGTGGGTGACTTTCTTGGGGACAGGGAGTGATAAAGGGGGTAAAATATAACCCAAAAGAGGGGACTAATAAGATCTGGTTGCTTTGTTAGATCTTCAGTTCTGTATTCGGATCAGAGAAGTGGCGCTTAGTTTATAAAATCATAGAACTGGAAGGGACTTCAAGAGGTCAAGTTTGTCAGCACTGGGGCCTTCCTACCACAGAAATCGATCATCACTGTCTTTAAACTGGAAAAAAAAGGATTCTAAGAAGTTCAAGGACTCATAAAACTTATTCAACGACAGCTGTAGTTGTTGTTTGACTTGTGTATCTGAGGAATTAACTACTACTGCTGTCATCATACTGCTGATCATCAAGTGTCTAACATTTAAGGTTGCCAGTAACTCTCGTTCTTGCTTTTTGTGTGAAGGTCAAACGAGAAATTTTAGTGGAGGTGCTGACAAAAAGAAAAACGGTGACCGCTAATGACAAACTTATCCTGCCCTATAGTCTCAATGAGGTGAGTATCTTAGGGCATTAGAAGAAGGAACTTTGCCATTTATCCTATAGCTGACCTGCATTGTGAGCCTGTTAGTTTAAAAAAAAGCTAACCCAGTTGTCTTGCGCTTTTTACTCTTTAAATTCATTAACCAGAAAAGATCCCCTGATTTCATCTGAGCTGTGAAATACCATGTTATTGGATCACTGGAGGATTTTTATTTTATTCACTTAAATATATATTTTTAAGAGACATGGCCAAAATCTCATTGTTAACCAGTGGAAGAAGTTATGTATTATAAATGTAGTGAGTCAATACAAATGAATGTTAAAATAAAACCAAACCCAAAGCTAGGGCATTGGAAGCCCTTATTCTGTGCCAGTGAAAAGTTCAACAGTGGAGTAGTATCTTTTCTAACTGCACCACTGTAGGAAAGTTCTCCTAGTTCAGGCCAGGGTAATGAACTGTTTTTTATCTGCAGGCTATCACAGCTCGTGATTCAATGGCGAAGTCACTGTACAGTGCCCTGTTTGACTGGATTGTTCTGCGAATTAATCATGCGCTTCTTAATAAGAAAGATATGGAAGAATCTGTTACAGTAAGTTCTTCACCAGAAATAATGCCCTTCTAATCTCCGCTATTGCAGTTCTGCACATATCGCTATCAAAAAGACATCTGGGGTGAAATCCTGGCCCAGTTGAGGTTAGAGGTACTATTCTCAATGACTTCACTAGAGCTGGGATTTTGGTATAGGCATGAAAAAGGCAATGATATGCGCTCATCTTGAAAAGTGTTTTTTAAAATTGTACATGCCAGGCCTATTGGAATAGTTAATATTACTCAAAACTGTAACCATATGTTAGGTCTCTTTCATGGTGCCTACCTAACAGGATTTCTGCATCGTTTTCTTAGTGCTTATCCATTGGTGTGCTCGATATATTTGGATTTGAAGATTTCGAAACCAACAGTTTTGAACAATTTTGTATAAATTATGCAAATGAACAGCTTCAGTATTACTTCAATCAACACATTTTCAAATTAGAACAGGTAAGGGAGGACATATTGAAGGGATAGATATCCCAGCAAAAGCGTAATTAAGAATGTGGAAGTAAACCTTTTATTTATGTATTGTCTTGCTTTACAAAGCTCCTAAGCGTGGCAGAAAATTAAAAGTATTCCTTCTCCAAAAAACATATGGTGTAACATTATAGTTTTGAAAGTACTTAGTTAAAAATCCTGTTTTCAGGTCCTACTTTGTTTTGTGAAGTATGCTTGTATTATGGTAGAGGCCCTAGTCGGGTATCAAGTTCCCATTGGAGCAGGCACGATACAAATGTACAAAGACAGCTCCTGCCTCAAATAGCTCAATCTAAATAGAAAATGGAAGACAACAGCTGGATAGAACATAGATTGGGAAGGCACAAGTTAACTAAGTTACAAATTTTGGGGCAGAAACATCATCAACTTCCTTAGCCAGAAAGGCAGTTTAGAAAAGGATTGTGAAAGATGTTGAGTTTCGAATTATTTCATGAGTTCATAAATACTTTGATTTGTGCGCTTGTATCTGTGGTATCCTGCAGTGTATTAGTATTAATGCAGTTAAAATAGATGGGTCACGCTTTTGGGTGTGCGCATACTCGATGAAATTACCGTTTCGGAGCCACACAGTACGTTTATTTGATGATGGTGGATTCATGTGTATGCACTGAAAGACAGTTACTCAATACGCGGCCTGTAGGCCACATGTGGCCCGCTGCCCGTTTGTTTGTGGCCCGTGGTGTGGTTTGGATTTACGTGGGGCTCGACACGTGACCCGCAGGTGGGAGCCAAAACAAAAAAGGAGTCAATATAATGGTCGTCTGTTGATATGCGTTTTATGAGTTACATTCCTGGACTGTGGTGCTCATTAAAAGTGCTGTCATATGGGTGGAAATCAGCTAAATATTGCATGTTATTAATATCAGCAGAACTTACATAGATGGGGCGTGTGTGTTGTGCAGTCTTGTCTTAATCTTTGTATTCATGACTGTCAGTGTGAAAAGCTGTTTGCATATATATATTTGCAGGGCTCGCCAAGCAGCAGCGAGCCCCGCTTGCCAGCCGCACGGTTCTGCGTTCTGCGCGTGCGCATATAAATCACATGAAGTAGATAAATTAGACAGATTTAGTTCCATCCAATTAGAAAAAGGTGCATTTGTCTAACATCCCTCTCCTTCACTCCACATTCTTCTGCTTCTCTCTTTTTGAACATGCAGTTCTGTTTGACACCAGCGTGTAAATACATTATTCAGGGATGTAAGTGTGTTTATCTGCAAAACTAATTTGCCTCTGGCATTCACGGCATGAAGAAAAGCTGATTGTGGATTAGGGTGTTTGGCGCAAAATTACATGGAGGTGCACTTTGCACAGCTTTATCAAATAAAACTCCCAATCTTCTGAACCAAGGCAGGGCTTACTGCAGGAAAGCCATAGCAGCCAATTGCCCGTAGAGATATGGATTCCATGTTGCCCCAGTTTTGTAAGCTTAGTCAGCCTGGCTTACAAAATTTATCATACAGAGATTAAATAAAATACTAATCAGAGAATCTATACTTTAGTATCTCGATGTGATTTTTTTTTTTTCTGTCTGAACTAACAAACTTGAAACCTGGTATTGTCTAAGGAAGCCCTGATGTGGGATGCAGTGTATAGTTTGCTGGGCTTGAGAAGGTTGACTGGTATGGTGATCTTAACATTTTCTTGAGTTGCATAGGAGGAGTATCAAAGTGAAGGGATCGCTTGGTATAATATTGACTACACAGATAATGTGACCTGCATTCACTTAATCAGCAAAAAACCCACTGGCCTCTTCTATCTGCTAGATGAAGAAAGCAAGTAAGTATAAAGTTTCCTCCTTGAGACTTGCTGTGTGTGTGTCATACGGGAAAATGTCATAAATAGCTGCAAAAATAGAGGAAGTTGATGGTTATGGTAGATAGCAGATTAAGAGGAGGGAGGGATCTGCACATGTACAGTTAAATCAGATGAAATTTTGAGTACATACTCCCGTATATTGATGTTCTTTAGTGCTGCTATAAATAAAACTTAGCTTAACCACAGAAATCACACTTTAATGTTACAGAATTTTCACAGTATAATTATGACAATAGTATAAAGCACATCGCTGAGGAATGTAATTATGAAAGTGCTGTAAGATGTAACTACTTAATACCCATCCTTACAAAGCATTATAGTGGAAGGAAGGTAGGGAATGTCTCTCTGTACAATAGACGTTTCTAAATATTCTGCTTTGCTGTGAATTGCTTTCTGCTTTAAAAGGTAGCTCTGTAAGTATCTGTCTACACAGCAAAGTTATTTTGGAATAACGGCCATTGTCTACACAGACATTCTGTTGTTTCAAAATAATTTTGAAATAATGGACGGCTTATTCCGACTTCTGTAAACCTCATTCTACAAAGAATAATGCCTATTCCAAAATAGCTATTGCAAAATAAGGTGCGTGAAGACGCTCCACTTCTGCTATTTCAAAATAGCCCCTTACCAGGGCCATTCTAAGTTATTCCTCCCGGGGCTCTAAATCGAGACAGCACGTCTACATAAAGCAAGCCTGCCTCGGACTAATTTTGAGGCTTCCCTGCAGTGTAGCTGTTCTATTTTGAAATAAGCTATTTCGGAAGAACTATTTTGAAATAGCTTGTTCCGAAATAACTGTTCAGTGTAGATGTAGCCTAAGTGCCAAATTAGGACTGTAAGCTGCTTACCCATGCGGAGGGTATATTTATCTAGTTTGTCAGGGTCATCTTGGACTGTACCAGCTCACACCTCTCTGTAAGAGGAGGTTTACCTTCCTTCATTCTACGAAAGCAAGAAGCTGCCAGGTTTCACTCTGTTTCCTACTTTGTCTCTAGCTTTCCACATGCCACCAATCAGACCCTACTTGCGAAGTTCAAGCAGCAGCATGAGGAGAACAAATTCTTCGTTGGGACGCCAGTGAAGGAACCTGCTTTTATCATCCGGCACTTTGCAGGGAAAGTTAAATATCAGATAAAGGTGTGCAGCAGATTTTGAATAGTCACTCTTCCTTTTCCCTTTCCTACCCTACAATTTGGTATAAACAGAAAACTCGTTGGGTCTAGTTTAAACTTGGTGTGTCACTAGACTTGGATTAGGTTTGTGTGTGTGTGAAAGACTTGAGCCAAGACTATGTTAAAAATTACTCAGGCTGACATATTTCCTTAGTCAAAACATCATTCCCCAGGAATCCTTTTTGATTTAGTATTTCGGGCTTGCTAAATCTGTTCGGCAGGATTTCCGAGAGAAGAACATGGATTACATGAGACCAGATATTGTTGCGTTGCTACGAGGTAGTGACAGTGCCTACGTTCGGGAGCTGATAGGAATGGACCCCGTAGCTGTGTTCCGCTGGGCTATTCTGCGGGCAACAATTCGAGCAATGGCTGTCTTCGCGGAAGCAGGACGTCAAAGAGCCCAGAAAACTGCAGGTACTGAGTGCAGAGAGAGACCACTCTGAAAACATTTTTAAATACAAACAGTTGCGTGTTACCTTGATATCAACTGATCTAAGAGATTTTCTGTGCTACAACCGTAGGATAGAAAATATTAAAGCTTAATGCTGAAGGGGAAATTGTGTTCTACAGCTTAAGTAACTTGTCCAAAGCCAAAAAGAGCATAGATGTTGTTATACTTGAGTTCAGATGTCAGGAATTTCCATCTTTAAGCCCTGGGTTATGGTTCTGCCCAGCATGAAAGACTTTTGCCACCATGCTTTAGAACCGTGGTCACCAACCAGTAGATCGTGAGCTACCGGTAGATCTCAGGGGCTCTAAGAGTAGCTTTTGAGCCCTCTCTGAACTGCGCACCTGCGCAGTACATTTACATTAGATTTCCTCATTTGAGGAGCAGCTACTCACTGAGCAACAACAGAGGTGAGTAGCTGCGAGGAATGGTGGGAGCTGGGAGGTTGGGAGGGCGGAAACACCCCAGCCAGCTGACTGTGGCTTTCACAGCTGGAGCTAGGCGCAGCCTCCCTGGGCTGAGCGCAGGGCAGCCGGGCTGGAGGGAAGAGAAGCAGCTGCCCGGCCAGCTGGCCATGGTGCTCAGCCAGGGTGCACCACGCTCCACGTGGGCTGGCGCAGAGGAGAAGCTACCTGGCCTGCTGGCTGTGGCGTTCAGCCCAGAGTAGGCTGAGCCGCGCTCCAGCTGATTGGGCGGCTTCCCCTCTGTGCCTGCCCATGTGGAGCTTGGTGGCACCCTGGCTGAGCACCGTGGCCAGCTGGCTGGGCAGCTGCTTTTCTTCGCTCCAGCCCGGCTGCCCTGCAGTCAGTCCGGAGGAAGTGCGGGGCGGAGGCTTCCCTCC